CACACACACATATTGGTTTCTAGCACCTCGATTAGGTCAACAGTTGGGACACTTCTCAACCTTCCCCACGTTGGTCTTCCGGGGTCAGTGATTTGCTCGGGGCTATGAAGAAGAGTCTGCTGCTGGGCCAAGAGCAAAGAAATTACCTTCTTCCCCTGACACTCTGGCCATTAACCTCTCTGCTGAGTTTACTAGAATGACATCTGTAAGGTAGGGGTGGAGACCTTGGATTGGGAGCCAGTTTCCAGCTGGGTGGTTCTGTTTTTTTTTTCCCCAGGATGGGTGGAGGAATGGGAAGAGAGCTGAAAGACCTTCAAAGAGGATGTTATGTTGTTTTTAATCTTCACAGCAGCTCTGTGAGGTAGATCCCCCTCATTTTCCTAGATGAGGATCCAAGTTCAGAGAGGTTTAGTAGCTTGCCAGGAGACAGGCTGGTTAATGGCATGGCTAGGTTTCACAAAAGAAGCTCTAGTGGCACAGTGCCTAATGCATTTGACTGCTAGCCAAAAGGTTGGTGGTTCAAACCCACCAGCCATTCTGTGGAAGAAAGACTGGCTGATCTACTTCCGTAAAGACTTACTGCTTCAGAAACACAAAGGGGGTCACTATGAGTCAGAACTGACTCGATGGCAGTGAGTTTGGGGTGGTTTTTTTTTAAGGTTTCACAAACCCAAGGCAGTGTGGGCTCTTTTACCCTTTTAGACTGCCACTATCTTCTTAACCTTTCTTGTCCCTGTTTAATGTTAGATTACCCCTCAGTTGTCCTCTTCTGATTTCAAAAATAATAAAACGGACAGTGGACATTTGAGTTCTGCCCTTTTTAGGCCCTTGGCCCCAAGCATTGTTTTCTGTATTGGACAAAGTAGAGTAGAGGATGGAAGACAGGTGATTCCAGAAGGCTTCCTTTTCCCATTCCCTTCTTCCATCCTGTCAGCAGTCTTTGTCTCTGAACTGCTCTAAGTTTTCTCCAAGGTCCCATTTGCTCCCCACCAAATCTCCTCATTTGCTCAAGGAGCTCTTAGCTGGCCTTATCTGTGTCTTTTTCCTACTCCCTAATAAAATCCCCTCCTAGGACTCTCTTCATTTTGATCCCAGCATCTTCCTCCTACAGGCTTGCCACAATGCTGCTGCTGCTGCACAAAGCTATGATTCCAGGGCTCCGAAAGGCCTCCACGTAAGCCATCTCATCCCAGAGTAGGCCTCTTAGCCTTATCTCCCACCCCCAGTATCTTTATGATGTCTTATCTTATCTGCCAAGGGGATAATAGATGTGAGGGTGGCAAGGGAGGAAAGGGAAAGTCACTTGTTCCATTCATCCCTGGAGAAGCTAGTTTCAGCTGATGGAACCAGTGGCCAAGCAGAGAGAGGTAGACCTCAGATCTTCTCTGGGCCTTTCATACATGGTCAGGGCAAACATGCTACTGAAAAAACCTCTCTCTCTTCTAGACTCAGGTTGACCTCAAGGCTCTGCATTCGGGCTTGTTCTACAGATGATTCATTTCGGCCTCAGCACCCCAGCTTCACCTTCTCTGATGATAACTCTGCCAGCAGGGGCTGGGGGATCATGGGGACCCTGCTGGGCCTCAGTGCAGTGTTAGCCTATCATGAATGTCGGTGCAGGGTAAGCGGGGAAAGGGCTTCACTGTCAGACAAAAGGGGTCCTAGAAAACACCCCGGGAGCTCTGGTAGCATAGTGCCTAAGGCACTTGACTGCTAACCAGAAGGCTGGCGGTTCAAACCCACCAGCCGCTCCTCGGAAGGAAGATGGGGCAATCTACTTCTGTAGTGATACTGCCTTGGAAACCCAAGGAGGGGTCGCTATGAGTCAAGTCCGACTCGATGGCACATAACAACAACAACAACAACTCAGGCTGTGATGAAATCACAGTTCCGGTGCCCAAGACTTGTGGGTTGGCTCAGGGTAAACCAGGGTCATTTCTTAATGTTGTTTCCTTCTGCCTCACTCCTCTGGTCCATAGGCTGCTCAGGAGTCATCACGCATATACACGAGGGAGGAAGTAAGCTCCCATCGCAGCCCTAAGACTGGGATCTGGGTGACTTTGGGCCATGAGGTCTTTGATGTCACAGAATTTGTGGACCTACACCCAGGGGGGCCATCAAAGCTGATGCTAGCAGCTGGGGGTCCTCTGGAGCCTTTCTGGGCCCTCTATGCTGTTCACAACCAGCCCCAAGTGCGTGAGATACTGGCTCAGTACAAAATCGGGGAACTGAACCCTGAAGATAAGGTGTCCCCCAGCTTGGAGACCTCTGACCCTTATGCTAGTGATCCTCCACGTCACCCAGCTCTGAAGGTCAATAGCCAGCGCCCCTTTAATGCAGAGCCCCCCCCTGAGCTGCTGACAGAAAACTATATCACACCCAATCCTCTCTTCTTTACTCGGAACCATCTGCCTGTACCCAACGTGGACCGAGACACCTATCGCCTGCACATAGTAGGGCCACCTGGGAGTCAATCACTGTCCCTGTCCTTGGACGATTTGTACCAATTCCCCAAGCATGAGGTCACAGTTACTCTGCAGTGTGCTGGCAACCGACGCTCTGAGATGACTAAGGTCAAAGAAGTAAAAGGTTTGGAGTGGAAGATAGGAGCCATAAGCACTGCACGCTGGGCTGGGGCACGGCTCTGTGATGTGTTAGCCCAGGCTGGTCACCGCCTCTCTAAAACTGAGGCCCATGTTTGCTTTGAGGGGCTAGACTCAGACCCCACTGGAACTGCCTATGGAGCATCTATCCCTCTGGCTCGGGCCTTGGACCCTGAAGCTGAAGTCCTGTTGGCATATGAGATGAATGGGCAGCCTCTGCCTCGGGACCACGGCTTCCCTGTGCGGGTGGTGGTTCCTGGTGTGGTGGGTGCCCGTCATGTGAAGTGGCTGGGCAAAGTGAGCGTGGAGCCAGAGGAAAGTGACAGCCATTGGCAACGGCGGGATTACAAAGGCTTCTCGCCATCAATGGACTGGGATACTGTAGATTTTGACTCGGCTCCATCTATTCAAGAACTTCCTATCCAGTCTGCCATCACAGAGCCCCAGGATGGGGAAACGATACAGTCTGGGGAGGTGACTGTGAAGGGCTACGCATGGAGTGGTGGTGGCAGGGCTGTGGTCCGGGTGGATGTATCTCTGGATGGGGGCATAACCTGGCAGGTGGCTGAGCTGGATAAAGAGGAACAGTGCCCCCGGAAAGCCTGGGCCTGGCGGCTATGGCAGCTGCGAGCTCCCGTGCCTGCTGGACAAAAAGAATTGAATATTGTTTGTAAGGCTGTGGATGACAGCTACAATGTGCAGCCAGACACTGTGGCCCCAATCTGGAACCTGCGAGGTGTGCTCAGCAATGCCTGGCACCGGGTCCACGTCCATGTCACCCCATGAGAACGTGGAACGGAGCCATCTACACCCCCAGAACCAACCACCTTCTCAACCCCTTCCCAAACATACTCATTCCTTGGCTCTCATCACCACAGGCAAACCTTTCTCCACTTCTTGGATCCCAATCTTGTGCCAAGCCTTCCTGAGCTATACACAGGTACATGCATTGCACATTTCCATCCAGGCAGACTCCCTTCATTGACACTATATTACATATCCCTCCTTGCTTCTGACCAGGATGTGAGAGCTAGGGGCTAGAACTAAGAAAAGTTAAGTCTGGAAATAAGCACTATTTTTTTTTTCCTGCCCAACTTCTAAAGCCTATCACCACTGAGGCCTTATTTTGCCTATCTTGAAATCCTTCAGAGAATGTATGGGTATGTGTGTGAAAAGTGTATACGCTACTTTCTACTGCCTCTCTGGGTTGCCAGGGTGCTGGCTGTGAGGAGAGAGGGGTACCACCCTCCCCCTTTATAGTTCTACTTCAATAAAGTGCCCTTTAAGATTTTGACTCTGGAGCCTCCTGGGGCTGGGGGAATGGTCCTGCTGCAGGAGGGAGGCTGCATTGGTACTGGAATGTATAGTAAGACTAGTTAAAAAACAAATTAGAAAAAAAAGGGGGTGACCCGGAGAAAGGAAGCAGGGACGTGTAGGAGGGGGGCTTCTGTCTCTGAGGTCTGTCAGGATGTGAGCGCCTTGTATGTGACTGACCTCAATATATTCCCGAAGAAGGGGAGATAAAAAAGTATTTGATACCCTCAGTCACTCCTCCTCCCCCAATTCCTACGCACTTGAAGAAAAGACAAAAAATGCTAAGAGGTTAAAATCAATGTTGTCTTAGGAGGGGCAGGGGCAAAACTTCGCACAAAGGATAGACAAGCCAGTACAGGTGGGGCGTCCGACAAGCGCCTAGTTTGCAAATTAGATGCAGATGAAGTTATTGCGTTACCCGCTGCAAGCGACAACTCCTTTCGGACTTGAATCTTTCGGCGCTCGTCTACTCTCCCCTGGCTCCTCTCACTTCTTTCCCCAGCAGTCTCCCCGGCTTGGCGGCGCTCGGTGTTCAGCCTCGACGCCTGTCGCCTGGTTGTGGG